TGAATGTTGCCATGGACAAATGCGGAAAATGCGAAAAAAATATTTCAAAAAGTCCTACGGAGGACCCAACGTAGGAAAGAGCTTTCCTACGGAAATCTGTAGAGAGATTTACGTATGAAAGTTGCCCTCGCTCCCCGGCGCGTACGACATATGGATTTTCATACGTAATTACATAGAGCGAAACCTCCCTAATACCTTTTTCTCTAGTTATACTGTTGTTTTGTTCACGGGAGTCACATATCCCTGAAGATGCCCTCCTGGGCGAAAATTTGGAAAGGAATTTGAAGTTTGGTTTGGAGAGATTTGGAGAGATTTTAATCATAATCATGTATAAACAATTAAAATGAAACAATTCCAGAACGTTTTCGTGTGACCATCATCAGTGGAACATCGTCACATAGTAAGAATCACTAAAACAACCAGTTATATAGCTAGAGTAACATGAAAAGAAGCGGGAGAATGCAGCACAGCTAGCGGCTATGCATAACGCGTGTAGTGTGAACCTTTGCAGTGTATCTGAGAATGGTAGCAGTAGATGAATGTGGCAGCTGTGAGTGCGTGTGAACAAAAACTGCAGTAATCCAGAAAGTATTTCACGGCGTACCGGATGGACAGATGGAAGGCGGAGTGTCGAATTTCATGGCATTGTCTTGGGTCGGTTGGAGTCGACGGCTGGTATTCTCGATGAGAGGACATTCACGCAAACGTAACTACAAAGACCACAATCATCCACCAACAAATGGACGAGTTGATGTACAATGCTCTGTGCAACTTATGAAGCACCGCTGTCGAACCGAGTGTAAGGGCATACGTATCATCTACGATGAAGAGTCGGCCAACTGACCCGCCCCTGTTGCGTCTCTGCTGCCTTCCTTCCACTCACTTGACACAGCATTATACCGCTGTCGAAGGGAACGCTATCATTCTGACTTGTGGACGACCCATTGGGTACGCTACCCCCGCTGTGGAAATCGGGGGTTTCTCGAAAGGTTTCAGTGTTCCTGTCAATGGCGTAACCGCTGGCTCTGGAGCAGTAGGAGAGAATTTCCAGTGTAAAGTTCAGCTAATCTATCCACTTGCTCTCCTTGCCCAATCACAGCTTTGCCGTTGTCTACAATCGTAAATCTCGCGCGCACTTTGGTTTCAGCTTTTTTATCGCTGAAAACATCATTGGTTCCTTCTGGAGCGACTCCACTTCTCCGATGCGGCTCTCAAGATGATATAACGCCAGCTGTCAAACCAAGATTTCCTTCGATGCATCTCAGCTCATTTCTTCTATTCATATTTGATGTGCTATTAAGATTCATACGCAGCTTCCTCTGCAACTCTGGGAGTTTGTCAACCTCATCTGTAGCGTAGGGTAGCTTGCTTCTGCTCGGTGCGTATCCGAGCATGTTGCCCTGAGTCTTGCGCTTGCTTCTGCCACATTGAAGAGTTGACGTGACACTTCTCCCATTTTCGCTCGGTATAATTTCTGCATTTTCTTGTCATTGACATTTTCTTGTCATTGACCAGTCTCATAGTACCGGTGTGTAGTTCTTGCAAATTGAGGACGTAGCTGGCTGTTTTATCAACGCTTGTAACTTGACTATTTTCAAGATGATCATTTGAGGCGTTATGGGGTGATGGCCCTCGTCTTCTGGGATGCTGGCGTGGATAAGTGGTACAGCTCCAGGAACCCGCAGCTTCCTACATTGTGCAATCCAGCTGTGGAATTCCCTGCCGCCAGCTTTTCTAGACTCCGCCCCAACTCGCAAAAATCTTCAAAAGTTTAAGTGCAACGTCAACGAATACCTCCGCCAACAGGATTGGCGATGGTCCACGGAAATTCTGCCTGTCGACCCACCTACATTCTAGTGCCCCGTCAACGACTCCCATTGCTATGAATGCGCTGCACACTAGTACTAGCTGTTGCTTGCCCTTGCTTTCTTTTTATTTTTGCTGACCCTTACAGCTCTATCTTTTGTTTTTGGTGCGTGTTTCTGGCCGTGATCCCGAGACCTCAGGTCGGCAGAGCCATCAATGCCCCACCATCACTGCTGCACCTCGGTGCAGCCCCTTCTCAGTAGTTGTCACGTTTGTCCTTGTCTCAGTACCATTGTCTTTCTGTATTATTTATGAGTTGGGTATGTGAACATAGTATAAAAAAAAACTCTTCTAAGGTGAGGCAATGTTCTCTCGGGTTAGTGTTGTTCGAAGCTTGTTAGTGTATGCTGTGATGTGACTCGCTTGAAGTACGCCCATCACACTCTCTCTCTCTTCCTCTCTCTCTCTTTCGCGCTCTCTCTCTCGCTCTCTCTCTCTCTCTCTCTCTCTCTCTCTCTCTCTCTCTCTCTCTCTCTCTTTCTCTGTCCATCTGTGTGTGTGTGTGTGTGTGTCTGTGTGTCTGTCTGTCTGTCTGCCGGTCTGTCTGTTTGTCTGTCTGTCTGTCTGTCTCTCTTTCTCTCTCTTTCTCTCTCTCTCTGTCTCTCTCTGAAAAGACACGTGGGAGAAACCATCAGAGAAACTCCTGAACAAGATACCGAATACTCAAGATGATTCCTCATCGGGGTATATCGTTGAGTGTGATCTGGAATATCCACACGAACTTCACGAGGAGCACAACGATTATCCAGTTGCTCCGTCAATGAGAACATGCTATCTCCATACCAGCAGGAGCTTGTTGATAAACTCAATTCTTCCGGATTAGATGCTCTCAAACTTGTACCAAACTTGAGCGACAAGACAAAGTACGTTCTCCATTATTGAAACTTGAAACTCTACACTCAGTTTGGAGTACGTTGTGTCGAAATCCATCGTGCTCTGATATTTACTCAAAAGCCGTGGATGAGAAACTACATCGAGAAGAACACTGATCTCCGGAAGAAGGCAAAGGATGATTTCTCTAAGAACTTCTATAAACTGATGAACAATGCTGTGTTTGGGAAAACTATGGAGAACGTTTGGAGGAGAGTCAACATAAAATTGCTGAGAAGTCATGAGAAGAAAAAATCAAACAGCTTGTTGCTAAACCGACGTACAGCCGCCATGTAATCTTCAATGATGACCTGGTCGGGGTACAAAGCAACAGGACAAAGGTCATCCTCAACAAGCCCATATACGGTGGGATGTCGATTTTGGATCTCTCAAAGACACTCATGTATGACTTTACTACAATCACCTGAAAGCGTTGTATGGCTCTGATGTGGCTCAGGAACCGATCCCACATCAGTCCTCGAAGTGAGTCAAGATCGGGCAGGTGAAAAAGCTCAAGTTGGCTCACTTCCGATTTCCGTCTGATTTCTCGGAGGGAGCAAGTTGGCTCACTTTTCTGGAATTGGGTTGAGCCGACATGGGATCAGTGGTTGGAGTGGTAAAATTAGTACTTGTAGTTGTAAAATTAGTACTTGGGGTTGTAAAATTAGTACTTGGGGTGTCTATCCTCTAATACAGTAGTATAGGGGGAGGGGGACTTGGGAGGTTGGCCCGAAGGGCCGATCGAGAAAGTCGATTTTGCCTCACCTTGAGGTGAGCCACAACCCCCTCCCCATCCTACTTTTGCTTAGTCGGTTTAGACTCCAAAGGGAACTTACCTGCAAACTTAGTGCAAAATCGTAGTGATCGACGTGTTCACATACTTTGGTATTCTCAGAGAATGGTCTTGGTCCGAGGAAGCTGAGAAGCTCCCTTCCTCCTGTATTTCCAATCGAACTGGCGCACTTTCACCGAAACTGGGTGACTGTGCCCTACTAGATGGGGATTTGTATGGAAAATGTCACTAAAAGCACCGCTTCATTCTTATAAAAGCACGCATGACCGGGATTGGTCGATATCCTGTAGTCTTTTGGACACTGATTCGACTGGTTTTGGTCCGAAAATGCCGCAATGCAGCGTTCGGCCCTTGTTCCCAATCGAACACGGGTGAGTAAGCGGCCAAGTGCTTATGCGTACACCACTCATCTCGTCACCGTCCCTGCAGGCTACAACGCTCACACCAAGGTTCAACTCAAAGGAACAAGGGTTCAACGGCGCTTTTAGTGACTTTTGCATACAAATCCCCATCTGATAGAGCGCAGTCACCCAGTTTCGGTGGAAGTGAGCGAGTTCGATTGGGAATCAAGGAGAAAGGGAGTGTCTCAGCTTCCTCGGACCAAGACCATGCGACTCAGCGCTCCAACAACTACAAGGTGAATTTCAGGGTATACTTCCCTTTTCAGTAGAAAAGGTACTTGCAAAGAAGGAGGATACTCAGTAAGTGAGAAAATCTCGAGAAGGGAATCTATACTTGTGGAAATGGGACGTGGCGGGTAAGCACACTATGCGTTTCAGATTATCCTTATGGCGGCAGGCAGGGAGGCATTTTCATAGTGCGTGCCACATCGTACAGAGAGCTTCATCTTTGCTTTGAAATCGTGATTTCTCTACACTTCACGTAAATGAGAAACTCATTATTAGCTGAGACCTACTTGTATATAGAAGCATTCTAAGAATAATCCCACTGGAGGATTTCGATTGTGAGATCAAGCGTGCCCTTTTATCATCACTAAACATTTGACCGACTCCTTTTGCGCTAGCTTTACCCTGCAGTGTGGCAGGAATGTGTCTATGTAGCATGTCCTCATCGCGCGACTAATGAGGTTTAAAACCACTACCCAAGTCTAAACTTTGTGGTAGGAGAGACGTGGGACCAACACAATTCGACTTAGGTCCTAAGTCTAGGGACCCTGATAAATCTGTTCATTTCTCAACGGGTTGTTCTAACAGTAGGTACTTACTTTGGCATGTATAGAGTGGTGTTCTAACAGTAGATACTTACTTTGGCATGTATAGAGTGGTGTTCTAACAGTAGGTTCTTACTTTGGCATGTATAGAGTGGTGTTCTAACAGTAGATACTTACTTTGGCATGTATAGAGGGGTGTTTTAACAGTAGGTACTTACTTTGGCATGTATAGAGTGGTGTTCTAACAGTAGATACTTACTTTGGCATGTATAGAGGGGTGTTCTAACAGTAGGTACTTACTTTGGCATGTATAGTTCCATAAAGCACCCATACATCTATAGCCAGTGTTGCAAGTAAACTCTCCTTTTGGGGCATTGTCACAGCTTTGGGAACAAAATGTTGAATTGAGACCTGCAAGAACGAAAACAAGCTAAATCGTTGGATAATGAACTGCAAGTATTGGACGTCGGCCCAACAGAGATATGGCTAGCATAGACGGCTGCTGCGGCAGCCGCTGCGGCCCATCATCAACATGCATCATCCTCCACACTTCTCAAATAACGCCATGAATAGGAGATGCAAGACATGCATCACAATAAACTACCGTATTTTCCGGGGTATAAGCCGCACTTTTTTTCGCTAAAAATCGGACCAAAATCGCCCCTGCGGCTTACACACCGAATATGCTTGCGCGAATGAATGCTTAGCATGCATCAGTATGCATGCTGACGTCATGTGACTGACATGTCATTCGACTCAGCTTCGCGCCTGTGTTGCTATCCCGGCACTTTTACTAGTTTTAGTGCGCGGGCTACACCATACGGTACGCGTATACGGGGACTCTATTTTTCATAATTATTATTCTGATCTAACATGGTATTTAGCTCCATAACCATAATAGATTTGTAGAAAGGCCATTTGTCAATGAGTGTGAAAAATCTTGGTTTGTGGGTGCGGCTTGTACTCCGAATACCAACTTTTAGTCAATATTTTGCTTCAAAAAGGGGGGTGCGGCTTATACCACGGTGCGGCTTATACCCCGGAAAATACGGTACCCGCTTATGACACTGCTTAGTCATGATCTCCGCTTGCTCGCCAACAGCTCCGCTAAGCTCATCATCAATATATACCCAACAGGTGACGATTCCGAATGCAGAGCATTTATGGGTCAGCTTTGAGTATTTATACAATGTATAAAAACCAGCATTTGCCAAATGGAAGGAAAAATGAGGGACGAACTGGAACGAGACACTTATACGCATGGAACTACAGAATAGGCGAAACAGAAAATATCAAAACAGTCGTAACAAAAAAGAACGGTCAACAATTTACTTCAACAAATAAAACTCGAAAAAACTGCTGAGTACTGCACTGTAATACTAAAGAGTTTTTGGATTCTAAATTTCGGAATTATTTCCGGAATGTGGTGGCAGGAGTCGAACAAGTAGTCGAACTTCCGGAAGTGTTTTGGCGAAAGTCCATGGTTCTCCAAAATACATTCTCGGCTCTTTCCGGTTGGGAGCGCATATTTGAACATGTGTGTGTTTTTGTTTTCTGCTGCTCTCGCTGATCATATCTGAAAATTTCCCACGTGTGTAGTTTTGGTTTTTGCTGGTTATTGTTGCTCCCGCTGATCTCCCCATGTTGACTACACCTTCTCACACTCCATATTCCTCTGCCATGGAGCCTACTGACAGTACAAGACAGTAGTTCGCCAACCTTGCCTTCAGCTGTTGGATCACTCAGCCCACTGTCAGTTCGTCCTCGTCTTCGAACCGCACCCAAATTCGTTTTTTTTTTTTTTTTTTACTATGTTCACATTCCCAACTCATAAATAATACAGAAGACAATGGAACGGAGACAAGGACAAACGTGACAACTACTGAGAAGGGGCTGCACCGAGATGCAGCAGTGATGGTGGGGCATTGATGGCTCTGCCGACCTGAGGTCTCGGCATCACGGCCAGAAACACGCACCAAAAACAAAAGATAGAGCTGTAAGGGTCACCAAAAATAAAAATAAAGCAAGGGCAGCTAGTACTACTGTGCAGCGCATTCGTAGCAATGGGAGTCGTTGACGGGGCACTAGAATGTAGGTGGGTCGACAGGCAGAATGTCCGTGGACCATCGCCAATCCTGTCGGCGGAGGTATTCGTTGACGTTGCACTTAAACTTTTGAAGATTTTTGCGAGTTGGGGCGGAGTCTAGAAAAGCTGGCGGCAGGGAATTCCACAGCTGGATTGCACAATGTGGGAAGCTGCGGAGAATGGTGTCTGGTGGTTGACGCGGTAGCGGATTTCGTAGCTGGTAACTGTGGCCGGCAGCCATGCGGAGATCGTTTCGAGTGCGAGTGGCGTCACGGGGCTCAAGCCTTGGTGGGAGGACTGCTAGCAATTGAGTCGGACCGGTGATGAAATGCAGTTTGTAAGTGTATGTTAATGCAGCAACGTATCGCCGTAGGCTGAGGCTCTGGAGCTCCGTCCCGGGACCAATGATGCGCAATGAACGGCGTTGGATGCTATCTAGGCGTGATAGATGGGAGGGGGCAGCTCCCATCCAGACGAGCATACTCCAAAACGGGCCGTACAAACCCCTTGTACACCGTGATCTTATACAGTCAGCCAATGCGACAAAATGGCACAAAACTGAAAAGGAGTACTGAAACATTCGGCTAACTGGCACCTAGCTCCAACACTTCTAGAAACGCGCAAACCAACAACCTTCCAACCTGGAAGGCTCAGGTTCGGAAAGGTCCAAGAGGGGAAGGAAAGCGCAACGGGGAAGAGCACGAGCTACGCATCCTGGCAGCAAAGAATGCAGAAAGTTACTGAATGATGACGAAACTAGTGAGACTATTGGATAGACCGGCCTTACTACACCTCGACGACGCAAAGCAACAGACCACCCAACTTGGGAGGCTCAAATTGATTTAATAAACATATAAGGGGAAGCTAAGCAAAGACGAATTGTGACAAACCGAAACGCCAACATCCTACTGAACTCCACTATCATGTATGATGGACTAGTTATGTACAATAACAAGTAGTTCCACACGACGTCCGTTTTGCCGTATAGGTCATGATGGCTCATCAGGTGTGCAAAGTTGAACTGAGATGGTGAGCCAATTTAGTTATGATGAATAAAGTCAGTGTTGAGCCATTTTGTCGCACTCGCTGCCTGTATAAGATCTGGTTACGTTGGTGGACAGTTGTCATAACTTGTAACATTGTTCCTTTCTCTTTCTTCATCAAGAATAATAAACGCCGGCTTTGAGTATCAAAGCCAAGTTAGCCCACGCGGGCACATGCGCAGTGATTGTTTCATGATGCATACCATTAATTATTATTCTGTGCCGAGTATGATCTGTAATTTGCATTTTTGCACCGCTGCTACTGTTGCCTTTATGCTCGCTGCAGTAGCTAGTTGAATGCAGTTTGGTTTGTCTTTCCTTTGGACAAGAAGTGCTTTCCGTGTCAGGCTGGTAATTTCTCTCACTTTCTGTTCAGTGGTCCGTCCGTGTTCGGATTATCTTGTTACAATGCCTCCACGGCGAGACCAGTCGGCTTTCTCTGCTGCGCAGACCGCCGAGCTCCAGGCTCTTATCACGTCGTCCCTTTCCGCGGTGCTGCCTCAACTAGCTGTTGCCCGCGTTGGCGTTGCGGACCCGGCTCCCGTCTCTGCTACTCCGCCCGTTCTGGCAGAGCCAGAGCCAGCTGTCTCCTTGTTGGATTCATCGGCAGTAGGCGTTCAGGAGGAGCCCGTTCCCACCTTACCTGCTAGTTTCGCTCCTGCGGTTCGCCGCCCTCCAGTTTCTCAATCTGCCCCTGGCGTGTCGGGCGCAACAGCGTCGTTGTCTCCACCAGCACCAGCCACGAGCTCCGTCACCTCGTCTAGTCTCACCGCGCCTGGGGCTTCGACTTCGGCTCGTCCTCACCTGCCAAAGTCTGGTAAGCCCTCTCGTTCTGTCGATGTTTATAGCCATGTGGCATTGGCTCAGATCGCGAAAGTGTTGCGTGGGGACTTTATAGATTTGAGCTGTTTGTTGCCCCTGGTCATTGCGTCGACCCCCACAGCTGAGCCTCATCCTAAACGGATTCGCGTGTCCGAAGAGGACGGCGATTTAGTTATGACGGCGTCCTCATCGTCACGGCTCAGGATCGCCTCGCTCCAGTCCTGGCTGGAGGCTTGGACGATTTATTGTTGTATCGTTGCCAATCAGCAACCGTCGAAGTCCTCCGAGCTGCTGGGTTACCAGCTCATTGTTCTCCAGTCGGCTAAGAAATTCCGGTGGGCTGCGGTGGCCGATTACGACACCCAGTTCCGCCAGAGAGCCTCTCGGTGTTCGGAGGTCCTCTGGAACAAGACCGACATGGACTTGTATGCTCATTGTTTTACGGGCCAGTCCCTACCTATTTGCTCTGCTTGCCACAGGCCCGGTCACCTCGCTGCCTCCTGCTTGTCTAGCCCACGTGGCCGGCAGCCACAGTCGGCTGCTAGGCCTTGTGATGCGTTCAACCGCGGACGGTGTAATTTTCGCTCCTGCCGATTTCGTCATGTGTGCTCCTCTTGTGGCGCGGGAGACCATCCACGCAGCCAATGTACTGCCTCCAGCAAGTCCACGTAGCGTGCCTTCGGCTTCTCCCTTGTCTGAGCATCGCCCGTGTACTCCTGTCCATGTCGCCTCCCTGGCAGATGAGCTCCAGTCCCATCCTGACATCGTGGCAACACTCCTCAATCAATGGCCTGCGTCATGGCTTCCAGATTGGTTGTACTGGTTCCCGCTCTTCCCTCGTTACTCTAACCTTGATTCCTCCTATGACAATCCTGATATTGTGAGTGAGTACTTGGCCAAAGAATGTGCTCGTGGCCATTCCGCTGGTCCGTTCTTCCGGTCTCCCTGTGTTCCATTTCGTTCCGCTGGTATTGGTGTTGTCCCCAAGAAGTCAGGTGGCCGACGGCTTATTGTGCATTTGTCTGCTCCTGCGGGCCACAGCATTAATGACTGGATTCCAGGTGACCGCTTCCGCCTTATGCATATAACCGTGGACGACATCGTTCGGCATGTGATTCGTCAGGGAAAGGGTTCTCTAATGTTTAAACTGGATATCCAGCACGCGTTTCGCAATATTCCGGTCAACCCTGATGATTAGCCCCTGCTGGGCATGGTGTGGCATGGTGTGGCATGGTGTGGCATGGAGTGGCATGGTGTGGCAGGGTGTGGCATGCTGTGGCAGGGTGTGGCATTGTGTGGCATGGTGTGGCAGGGTGTGGCAGGGTGTGGCATGGTGTGGCATGGTGTGGCAGGGTGTGGCATGGTGTGGCATGGTGTGGCAGGGTGTGGCATGGTGTGGCATGGTGTGGCAGGGTGTGGCAGGGTGTGGCATGGTGTGGCATGGCGTGGCATGGTGTGGCAGGGTATGGCAGGGTGTGGCATGGTGTGGCAAGGTGTGGCATGGTGTGGCATTGTGTGGCAGGGTGTGGCAGGGTGTGGCATGGTGTGGCATGGTGTGGCAGGGTGTGGCAGGGTGTGGCAGGGTGTGGCAGGGTGTGGCATGGTGTGGCAGGGTCGTTATTACGTTGATAAGGTCCTCCCATTTGGGATGTGCTCCTCACCGCCGCTTTGTTCAATGTTCTCGATGATGCTGTGTGCTGGATCCTGCGGCACAATTATTCTATTCTTTCCATGGAACATTATCTTGATGACTCAGGGTCAGGGTCCATTTTGTCCATGGCAACAGGGGTTTTCCCTACAGTACGTAAACCGTGCATGTTGCAGCACACTTTAGGGGTATGCATGGGGGGATCAACACTTTTGCACCAACCTGTATATCCAAAACAAAAGCCAGCAATAAACAAAGTCAACTTTAAGATCTCTATTACTGCTTTCAAGAGTACATAACCCCTCAGAGTGTGCAACTCCACTATGGGTGCTGTCCCGACAGAATTTGACGTCATTTTGATGATGCAATGCGCACTGTACACGGATTATCAGACGAATCCGGAACCTGTGGTTGACCGAAGCCAATCGATCCTGTACAAATTATTGCAAAGAAAAACGTGTGATGCGTTGACACCCGTACACATGTTGTAAATCACTGCTGCAAGGAGCATTGCGTCATAAATAAGACGTCAACTTGAAATTCTGTCGGGACAACAGGGTATGTGGGAGTTGCACACTCTGGGGGGTTATGTACTCTTGATGCTTTGAATCCCCATGTGACAACAGAACACTTACTCTTTATATATTCTACAGAGTCTGCTTGAAAACTGGTTATATTTGGTCGTCCTTGAGGAAACGCTCTGCAAAGTTGATGATCCACAGGTAGGTTGTTGTTTTGGATAAACCTGAACACGACATCAAAGTACATGACAGTTTGAGTTAGTGACACCCTGCTAATTCATTATGAAAACTCTATGAACCCTACATGCAACCTGTATGTACCCTGCAATGGGGAAGTGGCTGACGTTGTAGAAAGACTCACATGCCTGGGGAAACAATTCTTCATCTCCGACAAAACAACTGCAGAGCTGTGACGTCTTTTGACCCAGGCAAGACAGAAAGTGGGCAGGCTTGAACCCATTTGGGAATGATAAAATAATGAGTAAGACAAAAACATTCGTCGAGGAGATAACAATTTAGCTATCGCATCAAGAAGGACGAGCTGGAGTGGCGTCGGATTATTTTTCACTGTCCAGTAATGGAGCTAACGCTATAACAATCAGACGAGAACAGGGTAGCACTAGACTGAAAAAGAGTCCTGATACATTCCACATTCCACGGCAAAGCAGTGAGCTTGAGCACTGCTGGATAGCGCTAAACAACGGCCTTCCAACTTGGGAGATTCATGGATATTATTGATAATTCTAGAGGTGGCGCTTACCTTCTCCTCTTTGGAATTATGACTAATATGTATGAACCTAGGTATATCAGTGTGTGTGTGTTTAGTTGTTATGATACGGCATTCCACTGATGAAAATCACAAGAACACGTTATGGAACTTAACTTTCTTCATTTTTTCCCGGTGTTATGAGTGTGCAATTGATCTTATTTATTGCAATTTTATGATTATTGTCTCTTCATCGATTGTTTAAACCGGAAAGAGATTGTTCTTAATCGGGCGTATGAGCATGTCCAGGTAAATCGGAAAACGGGTTGAGATATACTCCCCGTGTTATACTTTAACCAAAATGATATGGAATTGAGATTCCCGCGGGTCACGTGATTGTCGCCTTGGGGTTGACCAATGACAGATTAAACAGCGCAGGGTGGAAAGCGCGGTCCGGCCTGCTCAAAGGTGATGGAACTGGTTCCACTACCCGTCGTCAAGTGACGACGAGCAGTGACAAGGGGCAGGAACAGATTCCACTGCCCGTCGTCAAGTGACGATGGTCAGGAACGGATTCCACTGCCCATTGTCACTTGTTGACGGGCAGTAGCCACTGAACTGATTCTCTACTTCATTGTCTTTCATTGGTTACTTGCCATATGTTTCATAAAATACAAGGCACTATATTGCGCCGAAACATTGACTAAGTGGAAAACCAACAAGATCAAAAAAAGATCTTACTACCGTACTGGCAATGTATGTTGCCGCAGTGAGGCCATGAAGCGTTACATTGGCACATGTTTGCCGCACGCAGGGCGTTACATGCAAAGTCGCACAGGAGCCGTTACACAGGTTTCTATATTGCCGCAGTCCTTTTTTTGCTATTGCCGCATCACTTTTTTGCTATTGCCGCATCATTTTTTGCTTTTGCCGCATCATTTTTTCTTTTCATCCACATTGAAGGCACAGAAATTCAGTTGTTATCCAACTGTTACAAACCCGACGGCAAAGGGCGACAATGATATCAATAGAAGACTGTATATTTTAACTATCAGAGTGATCTGTTCACAAAAAGATCATCAAAAGGAAAGTGACATAGGGGAAGAGCACTTCCTCCAAAAACTACTTTTCACCACGCGGTACACGTGCTTTCACAGTTTTCAGCCTTTTTTTGCAGTGCAAACTGCAATGAAAAGATCGCCGCACCCCGCCGGACGCGCGTTACGAACTCAACGAAAATTTGTCGCACTAGCCTGGTCGCGCGTTACGCCGCACCCCCCCCCCCCCCCCTGCGTTACGCGTTACGCGGCAACATATATTGCCAGTACGGTACTTAATAACTAAAGCAGAATTGTGACTGTTTACAACCACAACTGTCATCATGGCGCTCCAACATTTGATCTGGAACTGGGAGAAAAGAAGCCCCTTTGTTGAACAATATTGACGATGTGAATGAGCTCCTCCAAAAAGTTGAGGAAGGGATTGAAACTTTTATTGCGGAGTCGTTCGCGAAGGAGATCGTGGACGAGCCGGATGAGCCTCAACCAAAGCGCACAATACTCAGGAACCTGCAGGACCCGCGCAATTTGCCGAGGTTACCGACCAAGACCTGTGAAAAATCTGTAGGAACAGAACAGTCAGAATGCCTGACGCCCTGTTGACAACGTCAATGGCACCAAGAGAAGAAAAACAATCACTATGAACTACTACGATGACTACAGAAAACAATCAGAATACACAATGCGCATGAGCACCTGGTGTGCATGTCATGTATCTATTTATTTGGATTGGGTGCACACGGGAAACACGTTCCAGTCACTCATACGCGGTCAGTATCGCTGTTCATCCAGCCTTTGCTGCTATCGCGGAGGGGGCTGGATCCCGCAGTACTGCCCTCGTACTTGTGCAGAAACCTGTACTTCTCACACGGAAGCGTGATGCGCTCATCAGCAATTTTACAATCGTTTGGATGTCCCGTTATTCAACCCGGCACGACGAACCCGTACCTATCAGCAGATTGCTGTTGTTGATGCTGAGTATGCGGACGATGCAAACTTTGAAGATGGTTCGCGGGAGCATGCTGTGTTGGGTTTGACGGCTTTCCAGGATGTTTCTGCTAAATTTGGCCTCACTGTGAGTATACCCAAGACCAAATTTATTGTGGCTGGTGTTGGTGTTACTGCAGTTGATATTGCTGGCATTCTGCTTCATGGACAGGTTGTGGAAAATGTTCCTCCTTTGTTTATCTGGGTTCTGTCATCACTCCGAATGCGCCTTCTGCGGGGATGGGTCGAGGCGTTTGTCACTCACTGATGTGTTTGCTAATCATGATCTTTCACTCCATGTGAAGTGCCAATATTATTGTAAAACGCCTGTGTGATGAGTCTGATGACAGTGTTCCTGTAAGGTTCGGAGTGCTTGTGCCCTTTGCAGTGTGGCCTACGGCGCCTCGATACCTTCTACCACCAATGCATACGTAGCATCCTTTGTGTTTCGCGGACACAGCAGTGGGAGGAACGCATCACCAATGAGCAGGTCCGAGAGATGTGGGGTGATCCATCGCTATTGTTCTCCCGGCTTCGGAAGCGGAGGCTTGAATGGATTGGCCATGTGGCCCGCATGCCGGATGTTCGTGTGCTCAAGCAGCTGTTGTTTGGCTTCCCGCCGTCGCCTGGGGAGAGTGTGGTCCCAGTCGTCGCTGGAGGGATGTGATTTCGGCTTATCTTCGGCACATTGGCATTGAACATCTGGCTTGGTATGGGATTGGGCTGTCTTATCTGCCACCGTTCGTTTCTCCGGCCAGGTGACAAAGCAAGGCACAAGTGTCGGGCAGAGCGGAGTCTCCCCATCCAGGATCAGCGTGGTGCTGTGCAGTGTGGTACATGCAGAAGGTTGTTTCACTCTCTTGGTGGCTTGCGTGTGCATCATTGTTTGCCCCTGGAACGAACGGAAGCATCCGCACCGGCATCATCTATCCCGCTCAACGTCCCAGCTTCTCTCTTGTGTGTGACATGCAATGGGGAATTCAAGTCAGGGCCTGGTTTCAGACGTCACAACTGCAACCGTGGCCATCGAACAACCAAGTCTGACAGAGCGCCAAAATAATGGTGTTTGCTGTTTTCGCTGCAACCGTCAGTTCCTTCGACAGAGTGACCCGAGTCGTCATCTCCATTTCTTCTCCTGACAATGACTCTGGCTGCTTTCGGAGTGGTGTGGCCCTTGTGGCAACCAAGCTACAGTAGTAGTAGTAGTGTGTGTGTGTGGGTGTGTGTGGGTGTCGTCGCTCGCGCATGTGGGTGTTGGTACGCGCATGTGTGTACGTGACATCATCTTATATCGGTAGTTATCTGTGGATTAATGTGTACTGCGATGGACTGCGACAGCACACATTATGTGCCAAGATGTGCTCCTGGTGATTTGCAACTGTGTTACTGTGAAAATGAGCAAATGACAGATAGCTTTTGGTACTGTGCGAGTGTGTTAGGCAATCAATAGCCAATTCCAACCTCTTGCATTGGCTGTCAGGTTGAATAGGATCATCGTGTGCATTTACTACAGTGGTGACTTCCTTCCTATTGTACTACAGTAATGTCACATTAGCTTCAGTGTTCATGTCATTCTATACTGGAGTATTCTACGTATTGAACTTTTCAGTAACCGAGTGGCTATTATTATTATTATTATTATAACCGCAATCAGTAATACAAGCTGGATCGACATTTGTGCACACTGTATTCATGTATTGTAAAACTGTGGAGACAATGTGCAATAAAACGATGAAAAAGGTGAAGAAATTGTGTAGAGAAAGAAAGTGATTCAAACAAGTTTTCGTACAACACTCATCAGGAATCTTCGTTGTACTAAAGGACACTGAAAACAAAATTGAACTATTATAGAAAATCTAAGTTAGAGAAATAACACTAAGAACAACAGCAGTGAAATTTACAAGTGTGAATTTTAACAATGAAAGCGAGAGCAATAACGAATGTGTGTACTAACACTAAACTTGCAACTGAAAATTGAACAAAGAAGAGAAAGAAAGAAGGAAGGACAAACTGATAACAAATAACAGCAGTACATTACACCTAGAACATTAACGGCCAAGCTTGGCCGCACCAAACATGACACTTTACTTGAACAATTTCAACCCAATTATACTATCTTTCTGTACACACAAATTAGGCTTATACAGACGCTGCCAGGTGGCTTCCAAAACCTTTAACTGTAGTCCATAACCATGACGACCACCGCACAATACAGTGAATGAAGAGTCGGAATACGAATTGCAACAATCAGGACTAGCCAACAGATGATTGTACACTGAAGATTTGCTACCACAAAACCTACGCACAACGCTAACATTCTCACCGGCACTCTCACAATCACTACAAGCGTCGCTCTCCGACTCATTGCTCCCTTCACCGTCCGTCCCATCATCTGCTTCCTCTGCGCTCTCTCTGTTATCCCGCCTGACATAGTCAATTGAACGGGACTCGGCCGTCACCCTGCTCTCACGTC